AGAAAGTAAACGCTAGCCACCCAGGCCCTGAAGTAACAGTAGTTACTGAAAAATGTCAAAAGGAGTAGAATATTTTTTGATTTGAAGTATAATTTTACATTTTCTTGGTTACTGATGGGTTTGTGTATTAAACAAGATTCCCCCTTGGGAATTGTGTAGGATAAAGTCCTGTTGTCCCCTGTCAGTATCTTGTTTATTTAACTGTGTGAATCCAATTCTCTTAATCCTAAATCTTCTTTTAGTGTCCATGTTCAATTAAACTGTAACATGTTAACTACTACTAGACATATGATAGTTTCACTTTGCTGTTGCATTAGCTACTTAAAAAATTTCATGACCCAAGTTATTGGTAGTATTAAAGAATATAACTTAAAAAGCTAGTAAGTACACAAAATTCTGCAAATACTGATTTGTTCTTCTCATTATATAAAATAACATTTTTTGTTCTTTATACCTTACATTTTAGAACAAATTAAAAAATTGAATTCTGAGAGTATAAAAGGGCAGAGAAGCAAATCAGATTGTAATTGACATGTACTCTCAAGTAATAGCTACGAAAGGGTATGTCATTTATATGTTTGAATTTTAAAAAATTATTTTGGTATGCATGTTCAGCTCATTTTTAACATGAATGTGCTTTTCGACATGTAAATCTAACGTCTAATATCTCACAATTAACAAAAGCACAGTATAGAGAGTAGAAAATGCAGTCTATGTGTTCAGTAGTTTTAGAACTTGTTCAGTGGGAAAATCACTTTAAAGGTTTGGCTTTAATTTCATGAGAAAGGCATCTATATTGAAGTAGTATGCAGCTGAGGTCCTCTAGTGTCACAGCTGCATATGGCACCAGTTTTTTGTGAATTGTGTGAGAAACAGACAAGAACAAGAGAAGCTACTCTAAAATTGACTTGTAGAGCCAAATGAGTTCATAAAACTAGGTTTACATTTTGCTAATCTCAGGGAATGTTTCTCTGTTTTTAAGGGGGAAGATTTTGTTTTCTTTCATATGCACATATTTATCAATGTAATTGTGCTTTTACAGAAAATCCTTGCCTCTATAACTCTTGATAAGTTACAAATAATTTTTTTTAAGTTTGGGATATTGCCATTTATACAGTTGATTTCTTGAAGATGTTTATGAAAACTCTGTTTATCCTGAATTATGCTTGTTTCACACATTCCCTATTTGTTTAAGACTCAGTGATATGGCACTTTAATATGGGATAAATTATTTGATAAAAAGGAATAGTTTACAGTCAATTTAAATAGCATTCTTTATAAATAGTAACCCAATAACCCTCATTGCTTCTTTTTTACACACATTATGGGTAATATCAGGTTACTCCTTTACTTCAAAATATGACTGACAACCAGGGACTGGATTACCAGGTGTTTGAGGCAAAAAAAAAAAAAAAAAAAAGTTCAAGAAAAACAGAGCCTGGAGATGGAGTGGAGAGGGGGTACTCACCACAGAGGAAATGAAGATAATACTCTTTTTTCCAGAATTAAAAGAGGTCTAATTCTTCTCAGAGAGACTCAAAGGAATGATATATCCATAACCAAAGAACAGTATCTATCGACAAGGAGCAGCTAGGGGACATAATAGAAATCCTGGAAATTAATGGTTTAGATTTCTCTCTCTCTCTCTCTCTGTCTCTCTCTCTCTCTTTGGATCTCTCTCTACTGGAATTAAGTTATATAATAGATAGGACTAAGACTATGCTCTTAAAACAGAAAGTTAATACAACAGGATGACTGTAGTCAATAATAATTGTACATCTTAAAATAACTGAAAGTACAATTGAATTTTTTATAACCCAAAGGATAAATACTTGAGGGGAGGGACACCCCATTTTACATGCTGTGATTATTACTCATTTCATGCCTGTATCCAAACTCATGTACCTCATAAATATACATACTTACTATGTACTCAAAAAATTAAATTAAAAAAAAATAGTTCCAGTTATCATCTGCCTACTAAGAGTTCCAACTTAGAGAAAAAAAAAGTAAATAGTGAAAGATGTAACAAATTGAATTTTCCTTGTTAATGTTTCTGTGTTAATGGAACATGTGAGTCTGTAAATTAAAAGGGCATGCTTAATGCTGACTGGCACAAACATACCCACATTAGACATATTGGGCTGAAATTTTATAACTCTAGGGATAAAGTAAAAATAATCCTCAATACTTCCCAGGAAAGAGTAACAGGATGTCTACAACAAAGTTGGAATCAGACTGATAGTAGCCTTCTCGCCATTAATAAAGAATGCTGTAAGACAATGGAGTAATTCTTTCCAAGTTTAAAGGCAAGAATAAGATATTTTCAGATGCGCTGTGCATGAAAATATCCTACTCATGCTCCCTGTATGAAACAATTTCTCAAGATGTCTTGTAGCTAAACAAAAAAGAAATTTAAAAATAGTATGATATATAAAAATTATACTAGCTGATGATAATGTTCATAAATAGAGTTATAAAATTATGGTATCTATTAAATCTTGATGACTGAGACATTTTCTCTTGACAGCTAGGGTTTAAGTGGCCTAGGTTTGTATTTCCTTCTGTGCTTAGTTCTACAGTAAATATTTATTAATCATTATTATCATGTGGCAATGTGCCAGTCACTTCCCATGTTTCTCAGAGTAAAAGCCCAAAGGTCTTACAGTGGCCTAAAGGGCCTTTCGTCATCTGAGTCATCTGACTCGTAGCTACCTCTCTGAGCTTATCTCCTGTCACTTTATTCTTTGCTCATTCTACTGCATGCACTGAATACACTTTTGTGAGCTGCTGACTTTATACCAGTTCAGGAGTTGCTTGCTGTGACCTCTGCCTGAATCATACATTTTCTAGAGACCTACCTGCCTTTTTCACTTCTTTTAGATTTCTATGTAAGTGTCACCTTCTCAGTGAGGCCTTCCCTGAACACATTATCTGTCTTCCCTACTTTATTTTTTTCTTCATTTAATCACTACACATCACGTTATCTATTTACTTATTTGTTTCACCTTCCAGCAAGGAGTGTAGGTTTCCTTTATCCCACTTATAATTTGATAGTCTAAAAACAATATAACGAATGCAGATAAGGAATTGGGGAAGAAAAATGGAGAAGTTGTGAAATATGTCAACTGTATCCTCTTGCAGAGTGAAGAGTTACTTATATTAAGTAAAAGTCTTACCACCAGAAAAATCGAAAACTAACTGCTGATGATTATTTGATAATGTAAAATAAAATTTGATAATGTAAAACAATGTAACTAATAAAAAGGAGTTGAGGAAGAAAATAGAAAAGTTGTGAAAATACGTCAACTATATCCTCTTGCATAGTGAAGAGTTAGTAAGTAAGTAAAAATCTAATCACCCGAAGGATTGAAAACAAAAACTGCTGATTCCCTCTGGAAAGTCAAACTAGGATCATAGAGGCAAATTTTAGCTTTGGTCTCTGGTTATTTCTTTTGGTTTTAATTTAGGAAAGAGAATCAGGTTGCAACAATTATTTTTGTAAAAATTTTATTAATTTAGTATTTTTTAAAGTCAGGTTTATTAAGGTATAATACCTTAATGTTTACCCTGTTTAGTGTAAACTTTAATGAGTTTGATAAACAAAGTTATGTAACCGTCATCAAAATCAAGGATAGAACAGTTCCCTCATGCCACAAAATTTTCTCATACTCTTTTGTAGTCCACCTGCCCCCCACCCAAGCCCATGGCAATCTGTTAGTCCATTTTTTAACTTTTAACCTATGTCTTTTATTTAGTGTAGGTTTCTCATAGACTGAGTATAGCTGAGTTTAAATTCTTATCAAATCTGACAATCCTTATGACTTAATTGGTGAGTTGAGACCATTTGTACTTAATATAACTATTGCTATATCTGGATTAAAATCTGTTAGTCATTTTCTATTTGTTCTGTTCTTTTTTCCTTTTATTCTGCCTGTTTGTGGATTGAATATTTTTTATGATTCCATTTTAGCTCTACTATTGGTTTTAAAAATTATGTTTAGTGGCTATCTGCAAACACGAATTTAATTTTAGAAAAATTTAAAAAATGGATAGAATGGAAAATCTATACCAAAATGTTAATATTGTAGGTATGAGGAAATTTTCCATATGAACAATTTTTGATTAAAACATTAGAGGATAATTAATAAAGCTAGGTTAATTTCTATGTGAGTATTACATTTGTCATACTCTTCTGAGATTTGAACTTTTCAAAAAGAAAAGAAATGTTGACAGGAAAAAGTTTTAATGCAGACACCAATGTCCGCAAATGAACAATCCATACTTTATAAAGATGTAATGATAAAAATTAAAACGTGTTCCAAATACAACTGCCAAGTAGCAGTATTTAACCAAATACAGTGCCTGTTTCCTGTTAATTTACATGAATAGACTTGCAAATTGGAAAAAACATTAGGGAGATGGATGGTGAGAGAGAGGAGGGAAAAACTGGAGGATGTATGTGTGAAGGATGATCTGTACATAATAGGATAAGAATTAAAGAGAAATGTTTGCTAAATCATAAATGACCAGAGATTGCTTTATAGGTTGAATATGGAAAATAAGCTAGTGTTGTATACCATAAAATATATTGTTACTACTTTTTTTCAGGGGCTTAGGTATTTTGTATTGAGCAAAATAGTTGTTAGTGACTTAGTTCTGCCATATACCTGAAACTTAACCTGATAATTTGGCAAAGCCAACCTGCTATAGGTTAGTTGCACTCGCCATCAAAATTAAAGCCTTTTCCTGGAAGGACCAAATACTGCTATTACAGTAGCCGTAGGATCTTTGTCAGATCAATTCTGTTATAATCAGAAAATCTAAAATATGTAGAAGTAGATATTTTAGAAAATATATAGGTTCTATTTTCTCAGAATAAAAGAGGAGCAATAAAAAATAAAACTTTTTGAATATTTTCAGTAGGTCACATTTCACTTGTTAAAACAAGTTATTTATTTGCTTTGTAATTGAACTTTGACTTTTTGTTTTCTTTGTAGCTCTTCAACGGTTTTGTGCATAGCATTTGAGGTTCTTCAGGGCTTGCAGTATATGAACAAACATGGTATAGTACACAGGGCATTGTCTCCTCATAATATCCTGTTGGACCGAAAGGTAATTGTTAAATCATGTAATAAATATTTGTATATCGTTTGAAATTGGAAGCAACTGGGATCAGGGCTACTCAATCAGAAGAACAATAGAATCAGAATATGTTTTAAGAATATTCATAATGAAAAGACTATATGAAAGTGATTGTGGTTTTTGAAAAAAGAATCCTTAAATTATTTAATCTGTATATCTTTCACATGGATTATTTTCCCCACAAGACTCATTTTCTAACTTTATGGTTTTTTCATTTTACTCTTATTTCTAAAGCCTTGTGGCTTCCCAGTATACTCCTCCTCTTAATTTATTTTCGTTTTTAAGAAAATGGCTCTTTTTGCTAGAATGTTATTCATATAAACCAGCTGCACTGTGTTTTCTCTGTTTTTCTTCTGCCTTCTTTCCTCTTCTATTTATCTCCTTATTTACCAGCTGTTCATACCTACCTCCTTTTACTATTGAAGTGCTGTTTCTCTACTGGAAATCTTATGGGGCATTAAGAAGAAGCTTGTAAACTCTTCAGAGAGAATTATGGTATCAAGGTTGTATATTTTCAGGAATAATTGTAATTTTATTCCTTTTCATAAAATATATAAAAACATATTGGAGGAAATTTTTTCATGGACATCATTTACTGTATTAGTAGGATTATCCTTGTTCTCTGGTTCTTTTCCCAAATCAATACTTGGGAGGCTGAGATGAGAACATTGCTTGAGCCCAGGAGTTTGAGGCTGCAGTGAGCTATGATCACACCACTGCACTCCAGCCTGGGTGATAGAGTGAGACCCTGTCTCTAAAAAACAAACACACAAACACAAACACAGAAAAGTGTACTCATTAATTTTAGATTTATGGCAGTAAAGAATCATTGCCATATCAATCTAAGCTGTTTTTAAATATAAATATTTTATAATGCTTGGAAATAATGTTCGTGAGAAGACAAACCAATTTTAAGATCAACTTAATATTTTAAAGCCTTATAGATTAAAAGGGAAAAAAACTTAAAAGATATGAAATTATATTTATCATTTATTAAGAGCCTTATACTTATGATAGTTATTTTTGTTCTCAAACAATATAAAAAATCATTGGAAATCTAGCAGATTCACCAAAATCTTGATGAGTTTTGAACTGATATTTTCAAGTTAAGTTTTCCTATTTCACAGTTAAATTATAAATATAAATGGACTTGCAACTCCATGAAGAAAAATTCGCTCTGTGAAACTTACCATAAACCATTCTAACCAAAGTTTCAAGACAGATGAGAACATTTTTGCCTCTTTGTTTTGCGAAATAACTAGACAATGTAACAGCAAAAATATTAAAGAAACATGTCATTTGTCATTTTGAGATATATATGTGTACATATGCATATATACATATTTAATGAGTCTAAAGCAGACTATTGGCAGATAGTTTTTTATAAAATTGTGTTTTTTTTAAATCTTCTATAGTGGTATTTTGATAAAATATTGTTATATAATGGTTTCTTTAGGTATAAAATGTATAATAATTTTCCTTGCCCATTATAATAAAATATTTGATAGTGTTTTTTCTCTTTACTATTGTAGGGACATATTAAATTGGCTAAATTTGGACTTTATCACATGACAGCTCATGGTGATGATGTTGATTTCCCAATAGGGTAAGGATATGTTTTCCTCTATTTTGAGTTTCTTTTTAAATTTTGTAATCTTTGGTAACTTGTATATTTTGTTAATTATATTTGATATTCCTTTTTGACATGAAAACAGCTTTTTAAAAATTAATGCATCTCAATTTTCCATATACTTTTAAAATGAGTAGACAATGAGTTTTTCCCAGCATCCTATAGATCCTTGATGTTGATCATTCATTGAATTGACAGAGAGGCTAGCAGTATTGACATCCTTTACATTATGATATTTCCTAATTATCTGTATGTCATTCAGAATCAAATCAATTCAAGGCAAGAAGGATGACTAGATTCTCAATTAATGATAATGTGTGTGCATCAAGAGACTGAAAAACATCACTCACATTATTTTCAATTTAATGTTTTATGTTTAATTCCCTTTTCTCTAAGATATAATTATATATTAAGACTCAAGTTGAGTCATTGTGGATATTAGAGGTAGAGATAAATTCCATACCTGAAAGTCTATGTTTAAGTCCAGAAAGGTTTATTTAATCACTTCTGTTATGGAATTGCAGATGTATGTTGCCCTCCACAAAAGAAATGGAAGGTCGTTTCGTGCATATTCAAGTAGATGTTTTTTTTTTTTTTTCTTTTTGAGACGGAGTCTCACTCTGTCGCCCAGGCCGGAGTGCAGTGGCCAGATCTCAGCTCGCTGCAAGCTCCACCTCCCAGGTTTACGCCATTCTCTTGCCTCAGCCTCCCGAGTAGCTGGGACTACAGGCGCCCGCCACTTCGCCTGGCTAGTTTTTTTGTATTTTTTTAGTAGAGATGGGGTTTCACCGTGTTAGCCAGGATGGTCTCAATCTCCTGACCTGGTGATCTGCCCGTCTCGGCCTCCCAAAGTGCTGGGATTACAGGCTGGAGCCACTGCGCCTGGCCTCAAGTAGATGTTTTTGATACAGATTTTTGTGTTATATTTGTGTGGCTGCTTTTAGACATTTTCAGAATTATTTTCTTTTTTGAAGATTAAGTTGAGATTGTTTTAGATAAAATAGTTACAAAAATAGTATAAAGAATTCCTCTATACGTATCTTCATCAGTTTCTCCAAATGTTAACATTTCAGTACATTTGCTTTTTCTCTGTTTTCTAAGCATATATGTGTGTATGTGTATAATGATTGTTTTTTATAATCACTTAAAAGTAATTAATGTTATGTAATAACACTTTACCTCTAAGTACTTCCATTTGTATTTTCTAAAAGAAGGACTTTGTTTTTCTACATGACCTCAGAACAGTTGTCAAAACAAGGAAACTAAACTTGATGCAGTATTATTATCTAACCTAGAGACCTTAATCATATTTTTTCAATTGTAGTGTGGCTGTTTTTGATAGTATCCATTTGTGTTTTCCTCTTTGGGCTTCCTAAAATAAGTTTTATCACACCGTTACTGAGAATTGTGATATGAAGTCATAGAGTGTGTTTTTCAAACAGAATGTTACTTAAATACTTAATATAATTTTTTTAAAAGCCAGCCTCATATATAACTTGCCCTTTTTTCTTTATAACTCAAATTATAGGTTTCTTAACTAAACTTTTCGTTAAGTTTATGGCTATGTCTTATTATTAAGACATAGATAATAAACTTAAACTTTATTCAGTGAGGAAACATTTATTGAGCGATTTCTCTTCTGCCTGTTTGTTTTACAAAAATAAATAAGATAGTCTTCTCTCCTCAAGAAGCTCATTGTTTAGTGAGAGAATTTTCTGTTCTGATGGGCTACTTATTAAGGTACATAAATTCATAGTCTTACAGTTTTGTGTGTTGAAAACTTATAGGCAAAAACCAATTCTTGTTTCATAAGCATGAAAATGGTATTTTGCAGAGACAGTCTACAATTCCTTATTTGTTCAAAAAAGCCCTTTCGAATATGAAAGGGGTTTTTTTATTCAACTTATATTTGAATGTAAGTTTTTAGTGAGGCTCTAGCTCCTTTGTCATGTATGATAAATGCCTTTCAAGGTGACTTTTAAGTAGCTGTAGTACAAATGATTGCTGCTACTGCTTTTGTCTAAATCAATTTGTGTAAGAAAGAAATCCAAAAACTTAAAAATTACTTTTAAGTTTTTTATTTTTATTTAAAGGTACTTTAGGTTTCAGTGATGAATCGAAGAAAGGAGGTGATTTTTCTTAAAGCATATCAAGTAAGAGCTACACTTGAATTTAAAATGCTTGGATAGAATTGGTCTTGTGTTACCATTTGGTCTGGCTTGCTTTGAAGTCTTAGACCCAAAGAGTCTTACCAGAAAATATCAAAGAGCAAAATGTGAAACATTAGCCAGGAAAAATAAAGTGATCAAACAGCTAAGGCATGAAAGAAAATATTTACACCAGAAGAAGCTTGCAGTTGATTCAAAAGACAAATATTAAGGAACAACAAAGTAAAATGTTACCATCTGTTTCAAAATACTGTAAAGAGTTGGAAATCAGGCATTCATTTCAGTTGGCCAGTAGCTTAATACCTTGTTAAAACATCAAACAGATGATGAAAGCCACTTTATTTACCTCATCAGTCATACTCACAGCAAAGTTCTGGTAATTGTCTTTGAGTGTTAAAATGCTATGATACGGAAGAGAAGGTTGTTGAAAAAAGATGACCTACATTAAATAATTCTAGGGCTTATTATTTTTTAATAGTTTTCCTATGATTAAAAGGGAAACTAAAATATTTGAAACAAAGTTTATCTCTGTCCTGTCAGAAGTTTTTGATATAACAATGTACCTATAGTTTTGCTTGATTTTTCATTATTATCATTTTTCAGTTAGATGTGCTGGAAATCAGGAATAAAGATGAACACTGACTTCTGGATATATTGTGGTGATGATAAAAGTACACCATTGCATTTGTATTAAATTTTTCATTCTTATTAAATGTCTTTATAGATTCACTAACATTTATTACAGCTTTATGAGGTAGGCAGTAATATTCCAGTTTTACAGATGAAGAAACCTAAATCACATATAGAATATGTGGTAGAACTGAAATTAGAACACAGGTATTATAACATCTAGTATAGTGCTGCTTCCACTAGACTTCAGCTGTTTCTAGAGGTATCACACATTCATTTAGAAGAGCAATATCATCATCTTAGGGTAAAATAACACAATACAAATTTGTGTATGACAGAAATACACAAGCAAATCATAAGAAGATACTGGTATCACATCATCATTCTATTAAAAAGAAAAAGGAGTTAAAAACCAAATTTACCCATTTGAATTTAAGTCATAATCCCTGACTTAATTGACTTATATTTTGAAAGTAAATAAGTACTAGCATTGATAGTTTGAGGAGGTTGTAGAAAATATAGGAAGAAAAACAGAAATAATATTTGAATGTCTACTTAATATACATTACATAGATGAAACATATATTTAAATATATTTTGATTATAATCATCATTGTAAGAGGACATAATTTAATCTAACTGGTTTTAAAATCTAGATTGTGGGTGCTCATGAGTAAATCTGACAATAAATGAAGAAGGGGCATGCACATATGTAATAAGTATGGCAAAATTTCACTCCATCTCTCGTCTAAAACTGTTCTTATTCCTTTTATTTCTAGGAACTGGGATTCAAATTTAGCAATTGCTCCTATGTGTAATTCTTATTTACTACCTGCTTTTTAAATTGTCATTTGTAAGGCCATCCTAGTGGGCATTTTTGATAGGAATTTTTTTTTTTTTTAAGCAAAACTATACTGAGTATATCCTCTATTTAAGTCTCATTGGTAGTTGTAGAGGATTTATAAAAAGATACGCAAGTGCCCTCAGGTATATGGTTCTTTGTTTTCTAATTGAGATGGGAGGTTAAATTTTTGTACATGAAATATATAGTGTATAAAACAAACATGTATAGCATCATACCATGTATAGCTTTTATAAGATATAGAACAGGCAAAATGAGTACTTTATAGAATCAAATCAGGTATTGATGGCAGTGGCGGCCTGTGTGGAATGGGCACTACCACGATGCCGGCTGCAGTGGGGGAGGTGTTGCTGGGGCTGTCACTTCACAGAGCCTATAGGGGCCAGGAGCAGACAGGAGCCCCACCTTCCCGGGCACAGTTGCAGCTGCCCAAGTTGGTGCTGCAGACCTGGGCTTCCCAGTGCTCTTGGGGGCTGGAAGCAGACAAGAGCCCTGCTCTCCCAGGTGCAGCTGCAGGCTCAGAAATGTCTATTCCCACTGCCTGACCCCTCCCTCCTCCCTGTACCCACTCTGATCTTGGAGGGAGGTCGGGGCCAAGCCCAGGTGCTGTTGGACCCCGGCTGGGTGTGTGCACACTTGAGGCAGCACTGACACTCCAGCCCCCTGCTGCCTTGACCCCCTGTGGACTTTGGACACCAACAGGCGAGGGAGAGAGTCTGAAGGGGGGCTGAGGGCAGCTCAGCGCTGGCCTGCAGGCGCTTCTTGGCACAAATAGCCTGGGTACCATGAAGAGCGACAGGAGTCAGACAGGTTCCTGGGCAGAAGGGGGCAGGTCCCTGGTGAAGCCCTGCCTTCAAGCCGTTGAGGGACTGAAGCCTGGGAGACGGGCTGCCAGTCCCGTGGACCTGAGTGGGAACTTGTGGTGCTTTTTCTGGGCCCACCCATGGCCGCCCATGGACCAATGGATGTGCACTTCTTCCCTCTGAGGACCATAACAACCCTGGACTCAGCCAGACTTGAGCAGATGATGGATGGCCAGCTGCAGAGAGCAACTACCCACCCCAGGGTCTTCTCTCTGCTGAGGGCTGAACACTCATAGGGACACCCCACCTGAGGGGAGAAGCTATCCACCCTAGGGTCTCCTCTCAGCTGAGTGCTGAACACTCATCGGGACACCCTGCCTGTGGAGAGGAAGTACCCACTGTGGGTCTCCTTAGGTGTTCTATAGCTGGATAAATCTCTTCAGCTTGCTCACCCTCCACTTGTCCGTGTACCTTATTTCTGGATGCAGGACAAGAATTTGGGACCTGCCAAATGGCAGAGCTAAAACAGCTATAACAAACAGGGCTGAAACAACCCCTTGCCTGCCACAATGCGGGTGGCAAGGAAAGAAGACAGAAGGAGAGAGGAGCTGCAGCCCTTTGGGGATCCCAGACCTAGGAACTTTCTGAGCCAGGGCTGTAACACTCTCTTTGGGGCTCTGCAGTTCCTGACATCTCCAAGTTTCCGTGCACAACCATGTTCCCTGGTGCCAGCCATGGAAGCTGCTTGCAACACACGTGGTCCAACCACAGCCTTGCAGGGAGCCAGCGCCGTGTGAGCACCTGGACCTGCCCGCTGTGCCACAGCCAGTATGCCTGGCTGTGCATGGTGACCAGACCCCACACTCACTCATAACCCCTTGCCACTCCATGCCTGGCTCTCCCTTGGCCAGCATGGCATCCAGGCCAGTAGCACAAGCTGAGCACAGCCTGCCAGTCCAAGTGGATGGAACGAGCCCAGTGGGTCCAAGCAAAACTCAGGCAAAGGCACCACTGGCCACAGAAGTTTCCACCTGACAAAGTGACACCACAAAATCCCGTGATAGTATATGTTCCTTTATGGAAAAAATATAAATCTTTTTGAGAGACATTAAAGAAGACATAAATAAATATGGAGATACCATGTTTATAGATTGTTAGGGTCAGTATTGTTAAGATGTTAGTTCTCTACAACCTGTCTTTATATCTTATCTATTTTCAATAAAAATTCAACTGTATGTGAAAGAGAAAATACTTGGCAAGATAGTTTTAAAATGTATATAGAGAAGAACAAACACCCACAAAGAGCCCACATTTTCCCAAAGAGAAGCTAAAAGGTACATATGTTTTGAGAGGTCTTAACAATTATCAGTAATTGTTTAATAAAATACATTTTATATGAAAATATTTTATTTAAAATAGTGTAATAGTATACTCTTAGGCAAATTGACCAAATGAACAGATGAAGGAGCCAAGAAACAAATCTCTGTACGTGTGGAGATTTGATTTAGTATACAGCTGGCACTGCAGACTAGTTGGGGAGAAAGAGGTTTCAATAAAGGGAACAGGGCTCAATTGCTTATTTATGTAGGAAAATAAGTTGTACTTTGTCTGACATCATATGAAAAATGAATTCTAGATGGATCAAGAAACTTAAATATAAAAGGCTAAACTGAAACTTTGAGAAAATTAACAGATTATTTTGACAAAATCATTAAGTATAAGGAAAAAAGTTTAATTCACCTGAAAGATAAGAACTTCTTATTCATAAACAGATACCATAAAGAGAAAGAAAAGACAAAACCACAAAGTGGTAGAAAATATTTCGAGTCGTAATTACTGAAGAAGACATTAGTGTCTGGAATTAAAGAAAAAATGTGCAGTAAAAGATTATCATAGAAAGCCTAAGACTGCTATCCTTAGAAACTAAGTCCTGCTAGCAATGTTTGCCCTTGGCTGTTGCCTTGAAACTTGGATTGCAGAAATGTTCCCATGGATCCCTAACTGCTGAGGCTAGTTTACTGTGCTTGTAAACAACCGAAGTGGTTTATGCTGAACACTTGCTTTCCTTCTTGAGTTCTTGAATTTTTGTACATGCCAGGCAGAGAGTGCCTGTGTGACAAGTCCCAAATAAAATCCTTGGATTTTCAATGGGCTTCTCTGGCCAGAAACATCACATAACATTTGTTCTTCAAGATTGGAAAGAAGTTCAAAAAAAAAAAGAAAGAAAAGAAAACTAAAGATACATCACATACATGGTGCTACATTTTTGTTGCTGGAAGAAGAATGTATTCTATGTGATCCCTGATAGGAGGGAGAGAGCGTAAGGAAGCCTCTATATAGGTTCCTTGAGACTCCCTCTCTGTCTTTGTCCCTTGTGATTCAGCTATGCCCTTACTGTGTCACTGTAATAAATCTTACAAGACTTACTTGCTAAGTCTTGTAAGTCTTTCTAGTGAATTTTTAAACATGAGAGTGGTCTTGGGGACCCCAAAATAACTAGAGAAATAAGCAAAAGACTTGAATGGGCATATCACACAATAATAAACCCAAATGACTAATAAACATGTGAACATTTGCCTCAATGTCATTAATTTTCAAGGAAATGCAAAGTAAAACCACAATAGATTTTTATACCAGATTGTTAAACATTAAAAAGTCTGTCAAATATCAAGTGTTGGTGAAGAAGTAAAACAATAGGAATAGTCATTCACTGCTGGCAAGTGTATAGATTGGTATAACTCCTTTTGAAAAACATTTGGCATTGTTTAATGAAGTAGAAAGTGCACATATCCTATGGCTTAGAAGTTTGGTTCTAGGTTGTTAACATTGGGAACCTTTTGCAGATGTATACCATACATGGCATTCTGTGCAATGTTGTTCATAATATTAATAATAAAAAGCAGGAAACAGCTTAAATGCCATTGCTATTTGAATGTATAAATTATGATATATTCGTATAATAGAAAAAAGAATTTAATGGATACAGCTTCATGCAACAATATAGATAATCTTGATTGAAAAAGCAAAAGAATACAGTCATCTTAATTCCAGTGTTATAAAGTTCAGAGATATGCTTGACTAAACAGTACATTTTTTAGGGATACAAACATGGTAAAACCATCAGGAAATGGAAGAGAATGACAAACACAAAAATTCCAGGTATCTTCTCCTCTGGAGGAACAGGAATGGAGATACAATCAGGGAGAAGCACAAAGGGACTTTCAGTGATAATTTTATGTTCTTCACTTAAACTGCTTCTTGGTACATGGGTGTTCATTGAAGCTTTCTTCTTTATACCTTATCCATATTTAAGAGGCAGTGTTTTGCATTTATTCAATATTTGCTAAACCAGTTTTCAAAAGCCTTTTATGTCAGTGAAGTTGTGAGGAAATAGGCACTGTCATGTATTACTTATGACAATATAAATCAATATAACCTCTCCAAAGGGCAACTTGGTGTGATAAGTCAAAATTTAAAATGCACATACCATATGATCTTGGAGTGCCACTTCTAAGAATATATCTGTCATTCATATGCATATACTTGTGGGATATGTAATAGTCATAATATATTCATCTCATTATTGGTAATAGCAAAATAATGGAAGTTCCAAAATGTTTTTGTTTTGTCAAATTAAGAGCATCAATGAAATTATTGGCAGTTTTCAAAAAGAATGAGAAAACTCTATACTTGTGTTTTTAAAGAACAATCTCTAAAATATACGTTAAGTGGAAAAAGGGTACATAGCAATATGTATAGTGTTTTACCATGTGGGGCAGAGGTGATGAGTGGACAAAGTTATATATACATAAATATGTCAGGGTGACAGGGGTATAGAGATAGGAGTTTTACTTTTCAATTTATATCTTTTTATAGCATTAACATTCTTACTACTAAAAATAATAAATACTTTTTTAAGAGATAAAATGAGCTTTAAATAGTAATTCAGTATTAAGGGAAGATAGGCAATAAGAGGGAAGGAAAAACACTTGGAAACCAGAGAGAAGAAAATAAAGGAGTTAATGCTGGAGGGAAACATGAGGGTTTTAAAACTGTTTGAGACTTGTGTATATTTACTCTTGATTCCTTGACATTGAAGGTCTGTATTATAATGGTTAGTTTAGAATACTTTCTAGCAACAGTTGTTAATTTAATTGCATGGGACTTTTACATAGATCTTACCACACTGATTGTAAAAATGTACTATTGCTTCTTTCCGTGTTGTAATTATTCATTATTTTAATGTGTCATTACAGGTATCCCTCATACTTGGCCCCTGAGGTAATTGCACAGGGAATTTTCAAAACCAGTGATCACATGCCAAGTAAAAAACCATTGCCTTCTGGCCCCAAATCAGATGTATGGTCTCTTGGAATCATTTTATTTGAGCTTTGTGTGGTATGTATAAAGAAATATTAATATAATAAAAAGAAATTGTGCATTTATTGGAATAATCTTTTGGAGAGGAAAGTTAATAATAATATGTTTTTGCTGTACAAATTGATTACATATGAGGAGAAAAGGCTTAATTTGGCTTAATCATGTTTGATAATTAATTTCATATATTTTTTGGCATCTCTAGAAACATACTTTTACTAAGTGTGAATGTAAATGTTACCAGATGTGTATTATTTTGGAATCTCTGTAATGTGTATATTTTTACGAAGTTAAGATGTTTATATTAAGTTATATAAGATATATGGAGTACCATTAAAAGTTTAACAAGATATTGAAGTCAAAACCATGTTTTTGGAAGATTGATATGACAATAATGTAAGATTGAGAAGAATAGCAGTTTTTTTCAATGATCTCTACCTGTAGTTCTGATTTGATAAATGTTTAAGAACATTTTTTCTTCTCTATTAAAAAAAATCAAAGCATCTCTCTTTTTTCTATAAACACCAGATAATCTTAAGCCTTTTCCTTCTAAGTTTATTTAAATGATCATATAAGCTTAATTTGTTTATGATAAGAGGAATATAATTATAGCCAACATTAATGAAGCATTCTGCATTATGTAACCCTCACCATAACCTGTGGTATATATACAGTTAATATTTTAATTTTACAGATGAGAAAAGTGAGACTTCAGATGGTTAAGTAGTTTGCCCAATTTATGTAACTATTTGGTGGTGGGAGAGTCCAATTTGGCACACATTCACTGCTCAACTCATAAATGCTGAAGGCATAAGTGTTTAACTCCAGACCTTATATCAAGGAGCCTCCTGAGGCAGACTAATAAGGAAATAATTAAAATATAATGTGTGCATCTTAAAATATACCAGGTGCTGTAGGAGCATGAAAGATGGCTGTGTGAAGTTATTGTGGTAAGAGAGTGTTACGAAATTTTTTAATGGAGAAACAGGCTACCTGGATCATAATATTTAAGTAAGAATTAGCCTGGTAGATGAAAGGGTATAATCAGTCTTACCCAGGGGACATCTTGCTCTCAATAAAGTAAGACTCCACGTGGCCTGGAATACCTCTAGATATCCAGGTATGTGTTGATCTCAAAAGTGAACAATGCTTACATCAAACTAGAATATAATGACCCTTAGATGTATGAAATGTTTAAATGATACATATTATGCAACACTTTCTAAAATGTTATTTCACCTGTAATTTTTCTTTAGTGGAGCTGACTTTAAAAATCCAATAAAACTTTTGGAGATAAATGGAGATGCCTGATAAAATCAGTTTCAGCTATAAGGGGAGAAAAATACCTTCCTAGAAGAAACGTGTAAATATTAACACAAATTTCTTTTCTCATTTTATTTAGGGAAGAAAATTATTTCAGAGCTTGGATATTTCTGAAAGACTAAAATTTTTGCTTACTTTGGGTAAGTGTCATATAATTGCTTATCTTTCAGATATAAATATAACTTAGTAACTGTTAGTAATCATGCACATTGAGGATATGTTCTTTTGAAATAGTGAGGACACTGAAATATACCCCTTTTACTCAAGTTGCTAATGATCAGTGGTAATGATCAGCAGAACAGCATATGAGGTCCCTTCTAAAACATTACAGCAGAAATGTCTTTATTCTATGAGGAATTTTAACCTAGATGGAAATAATCTTAGCTTTATGATCTAGCCAAGTAAATTAACTTGTGAAATCAAAATATGAGAATATAAAATTGTATTTCTGTAGCAGTTTACCTTCAGACAATGTATCTTTTGGGCTATCTTTCTATTTGATGAATCATGCACAAATAACAACTCAAGAAGAATATTGATTTTTTCCATATAAAAGGCTCATACAAATTTTCATGTGTGTGGATCCAAACATGTATAATTCAAATTAATAAAAATTTATGTAATCTACTTTAGAGTGGAATTAATTAAGCACATTTGGTAATTAAGGAGAGAAAAACAGTGATAGAACACTTTATGCAAAAGAGTGACAGATTAGTATCCAAGTTAAAAAGATTTACAAATAAGAATATGTACAGAAAAGTATTAGCGAACATTAAATAATAATGAGTTATAAATAAATTTGCAAAAGTTTTACCAGATTTACCACATTTAATTACAAAGATTGATACTACAGCTATTAAGAAGCCTTGGAGATTCTTAAATATGGTCTGTAATCTAAACTTATACTTTAAATTCCCAAATCAATGTAAGTACATTTTCCAAATTATGTATAATAAAAATAAATTAGTCTTGTAATCATAAAAACAAATCTACAAAGCCTTCTTAAAAAGCGCTGTTTATGTACAGTCATTTCTTGAAGAGGATTGGTTCTAGCACCCCCACATGTACCAAAATCCATGTGTACTGAAGTTCCACAGTCGGCCCCACAGAACCCATGTGTATGAAAAGTCGGTCCTCCATACATGCAGATTTCGCATCCACAAATACTGTATTTTCAACCCATGTTTGGTTGGAAACAATCCACAGATAAGTGGCCCTATGCAGTCTAAACCCATGTTGTTCAAGGGTCAACTATGTGTGTCCGCATGTATATATTTAGAGAGAGACAGAGAGAGCTAGAGTATCTTTACCTTCCTTGTAAAGGAATTGCTCCTTTATCAAACTGTTTTAAGCTGATATCTTTCAGTGTCAGTTATTCAATTAGTATTTGTCTGAAGCTTTTCATTTTTATCAAAACTTGTAAAGAAATTTAACAAAATGATAAAGTTTTCAGTATTTTAAGTTCCAAAACTGCACTACTGCATTAAAACATTTTTGATCTGTTTATTTTCTGATTTGTTGGATAGATCAGAAAAGTAGCATTTATTCATATAGTTTTTCTGTTTTATAGACTGTGTAGATGACACTTTAATAGTTCTGGCTGAAGAGCATGGTTGTTTGGACATTATAAAGGTTTGTCATTAATCTGGGTCTTAGTCCATTTTTGCTGCTATAAAAAAATACCTGATATTGGGTAACTTATAAAGACAAAAATTTATTTTTCCACAGTTATTGAAATTAGGAAGTCCAAGTTCAAGGCATCAGTATGTTTGGTTTTCTGGTGAGGACTGCAGTCTTCTGAGAGAGAAACACTGTCCTCACAAGGTGGAAGGGCAAGCTAGGCAATTGCTATGTGAAGTCTCACCTTTATAAGCCTCTTAATGCCATTCACCAGGGGAAGAGCCCTTGTGACCTAATCACTTCTTAAAGGCCTCACCTCTTAATATCATCACATTGGCCATTAAGTTTCAAAGTTCATTAAGCCTGAACTTTGGAGGGGACACATTCAAATCATAGCAATCTGTTCATGAAAATTTATTTTACGCACTTGGGATCCACTTGGAAGCTATTTTAAAGCAATGCTTATTTCTCTTTAAGTATTTGCTTTTTCACAGTGACAAAATTTGTATAAAGTACAAATAAAAAACTTTTAACATATCAAATCCTTCTAGCTTAGCAAACGTTTGAATAAAGTATATTTCTAAAATTGATCATTTTAATTAATTATTTTCTCTCTTTATTTACCAGGAGCTTCCTGAAACTGTGATAGATCTTTTAAAGAAGTGCCTCACCTTCCATCCTTCTAAGAGGTTGATATTATTTAGAGATTGGGATTACATTGAGATCCTTTACACATAAGCAATTGATTTTTTTCATATTCATTTTAATATAATGGATTAAATAAAGATAATGTACATATGTAGTAGTATATAATTGACATCAGTATCATAACCATGAATGATGTAAGCTTTCGTTTTTTGTGAATAAATGAAAAAGTAATTAAAGTTAAACTATGGTCAGAAAACTGACATATACTAAAGAAGTTACTAGTTCATTTCCAAGCTTTTAAGTAGAATATCAACTAAGACTGTGGAATGTAGGTATTCCTAGACCCAATAATAACATCAGTGAAATGAGAATAAAAGTTTGTTATCAATATGTGTTATAGCAGTGAACTTGGATAGGTGGTGTGATAAACTAACAACTGTTGATAATAAAAAAGGATTTCTTAGAAGTTTCATTAATTGACTTTGACTTGATGATGTCACTACTAGTCATACAGCTATCCCTAAACTCCTTTAGTATATAATGTTTGAAAATAGTGTATACAAATTTGTCTTTAGAAAAACAACTTTATCAAGACATGTTAGAGAGAAATAGTAGTTTTGTGTGGATGTACCACATTAAGGGACAGGAAGAAAAGCCAAAAGGTATTATTATAATAGCTTGCATATTTATTATTTAATTAAGATATTCAGTAAAGCAGGTGAATGCTAGTCAGGCTAAAAGTAAACAATGCAAAAGCTTTTATGGAATGATATTTTTGATACATCATGAGGTAAAGTACAACATAAGTAAAAAAAAATCAGTATTTACTCACAGTTATTTGATTGTAATATAAAAGTATGCATCTAGACTCTGCAAAGGAAAGCTGTATTATTTTCTGTGCTAATGAGGTGTTTAAGACTTTCAACCAGTCTCTTGAATGTATGCCATTATTTTAGGAAATTTTTTATGACTTTCGTTCATGCTCTGTATTTTAAATGTTCTCAAGGCCAACCCCAAGTGAATTAATGAAGGACAAAGTGTTCAGTGAGGTGTCACCTTTATATACCCCATTTACGAAACCTGCCAGTCTGTTTTCATCTTCTCTGAGATGTGCTGATTTAACTCTGCCTGAGGATATCAGTCAGTTGTGTAAAGGTAATGATAAATTAAAGCATAGAAAATGAGCCTTGTTTTTAAAGGAAGTTTCCTTATCCTAATTTCAGTTTTGAATTTATCAACAATATATATTAGTGGAATCATGGGAATTAAGAGACAATTCTGGAAGTGATTAAAATATAACTGACTGACTGGGTGTGGTGGCTTATGCTTGTAATCCCAGCACTTTGGGAGGTCAAAGAGGGAGGATTGCTTGAGGCCAGGTGTTTGAGACCAGCCTGGTCAATGTAGAGATATCCTGTCTCTACAAAAAAAAAAAAAAAACAACAAAACAACAACAACAAAAAACAAAGTATACACACACACACACACACACACACAAATATATATGTATATAGTTAGTCAGAGCCTAACTTGCTTGGATAATATCAGAGCCTAACTTGCTTGGATAATTATCAGAGGCTAACTGAACTGGTGAGGGGAAATAGCAAATTGCAGCTAGCTCTAGCCTTCTGTGTGGTGTTTAAGGTTAACAGAAGCATTCTATAGTCAATCCTGTGATTAGTTCTGAATCTTTAAGTGAGCCTGTGCCTCTAGCCTTTAGACAAGTGCTTCCTTGCCCTTAAGGAGTGGCTAGAATACACATAAAAACACATACATTTGAGCTAACAGTTTATCCTTTATATTTAAGTTACTGATATTCTATATAATTTATTTATAACTGATCTCTAAAAATAATATTATTGATAAGAATTACATACCATTATGTTCTGCATGTTGAAGAGAATATCAGCTTTTAGACTTTCATTTCTTGTGTGAAGATTACAGCTCTTGGAACGTAAGATTTAGTGACACGAGTAAGTTACCTTTATTCTGAAAAGTTTTTATGACTTAAGTCATGGCAGAAAATGGTTACTAAACATTCATTCAATTAAACATTTATTGAGTTCCTTTATGTGTCACATACTGTATCTTTTTTGTTTGTTTGTTTGTTTGTTTTGAGACTGAGTCTGGCTCTGTCGCCCAGGTTGGAGTGCAGTGGCCGGATCTCAGCTGACTGCAAGTGCCACCTCCCGGGTTTACGCCATTCTCCTGCCTCAGCCTCCCGAGTAGCTGGGACTACAGGCGCCCGCCACCTCGCCTGGCTAGGTTTTTTTTGTATTTTTAAGTAGAGACGGGCTTTCACCATGTTAGCCAGGATGGTCTCGATCTCCTGACCTCGTGATCCGCCCGTCTCGGCCTCCCAAAGTGCTGGGATTACAGTCTTGAACCATCGCACCCGGCCCACATACTGTATCTTTAAGTAACATTCATGCAAAAGGGGAAGGCAGACAGACATTTAGTTATACAATCACTATTATAAATGAAGGTCAATATGAATATAGCACAATGGCAGCATAGCAGGAGCACCTAATTGTGTATTTCTGTCTGGGACATCAAGGAAGACTTCAGAAAAGGCAGCCAGCCATTGCCTTGAGATAGGAGGGAAGGAACAATTTGTGTTGGTTGCCTCCCCATGTGCTATTTTCTACCCTTATTCCTTTTCCAATATAGAGTGTAAAATTTCCAATACTATGTATTCATTATAAAGAGTGAAAATTCCAGGTTTTTTTTCTATGGGCAGTAAGTTTGTGAACTAGAGTTGGCTAATTGGATCTAAATGAAAGTACTGGGCATAAGGGCTACTTGTAGGGAAAAAACAAATTTTCTTGTCAAGAAAGTACTGCAGCATAAGTTCACCACTTTCTTCTCTTCTTAATGCAGGAAATGGTCTAGAATTTTGATAAGCATAGGCCCCTCCTATACCTATGATTTTATTAGGAGAGATGAATAAATGTCTTTATTATATAAGCCACTTTTAGTAGTATATTATTTTCAGCTAGAAGCATTCAAATTATTACAAAAATTAAATCAGAATCTGCCAGTCATGGCATACCTCCAGGTAGGAGAAGGGAAACACCAAGCTCCAGCTCATTCTAGCCACTCCTTAAGGGCAAGGAAACACTTTGTCTAGAGTCACTGGCTCACTTAAAGATTGAGACCTAATCATAGGACTTACTACAGAATGCTTCTGTTCCCCACACCTTAACCACCACATAGAAAGCTAGAGCTGGCTGCACTTTGGTATTTCCCCTCTCCAGGTCAGTTAGGCTCTGACTAACCGGTTTATCCTGAAGGCTGACCTTGTTAAGAACAGTGCTCATCGTATTTCAGAATGGTTCCATTTCCTCTGCCACTACTGGAAACATAAGGGCATTTTCCTCCAATATTTACTGTGAGAACCGTGTCAATCTCCAGACTCACAAAAGTGTGCGGGTATCCCTTATGACTGGCTCCCCCTGGAGTTTTTGACTCTCAGAGTTGTCCACACTGAGCTCCAGTAATTTGTCAATTACAGTTTAGGTTTTCCAAACTTGGCACTGGTTCCTGAGGCACTACTCATGAATGTCTGTTCCAGAATGCTGTAACTCCCTGTATTCTGCTGTCTGTCTCCAGTCCTGAGGACAGAAGTTTGCCCTATGTCCTCACCTCTCTTAGAGATCAAAGAATGGTTGATTTTTCAGTCTGTTCAGCTTTTTATTTGTTGTTAGGATGGAGTAGCAAATTTCAGCCTCCTTACTACTAACTGGAAACTGGAAGTCTGTTCTTCAGTGTTTATTTTTTTTTTTTAGAATGGCAGCTATTACTGCCTGTTGACTTTTAATAAAGGTAGAAAATGTAATACAGTGATTCCTTAAATTTGCTTTTAATAGATATAAATAATGATTACCTGTCAGAAAGATCTATTGAAGAAGTTTATTACCTTTGGTGTTTGGCTGGAGGTGACTTGGAGAAAGAGCTTGTCAACAAGGAGATCATTCGATCCAAACCACCTATCTGCACACTCCCCAAGTAAGGAAAGAAACTTCTCTTGTAAATTTAAATAAATAAACGATAATAATTATACTTATATGGTAATAAAAAAAAGAAAATTGGTTGTTTTTAACATTTTTTTTGGTAGACATCCCAACTAAGTGATTATTGGAAGCAATTGAAATCAACACCTTGTTTGACTGGCCAGAGTTTCTAATTGCAGTTCCCATCACTTGTCTTTGATCTGTGATTTGCTTTGTGACCTATTTGAAGTGAAGTTAATACTATGGAATATCTTGCAATAATTGATGTTAATGAAAAATACACAAGTCACAATAGAATATTTAAGAGAGTTAACTAAAAACTAGTTAGTTTGCCTACTAAAAACAACTATGTTCTTTTTGCAAATATACTTGTAAATGTAAATGAACTGTGTGGTCTCACTGCATGTCCTAGAGATCATTACTGTGCTAGTGTGTTGCAAAAACATCTGCAAAACTGTATAAGAAGGTATCATGCTATAAGTTAGACTCCAAGTTAAATACCTCTACAACCTTGGGGCTAAGATTGTCATTAACATTGCTATTCATGTTTGTTCATAAAAATATGAACCTAAATTTCTTGAGCTTCTACTAATACTTTAAATTTTTAATTTTAGGCTTTGAGAGGCAAGGCAGGTGGATTGAGTGAGCCTAGGAGTTTGAGATCAGCCTGGGCAACATGGCAAAACCCTGCCTCTACAAAGAAAAAAATTAGCTGGACATGGTGTTGTGTGCCTGTAGTCCGAGCTACTCAGGCAGCTGCGGGTGGGAGAATCACCTGAGCCCAGAGAAGTTGAGGCTGCAGTGAGCCGAGATCATGCTACTGCACTTTAGCCTGAGCAAATGAGAGACCCTGTCTCAAAATAAAATAAAATAAAATTTTAATTTTTAGATTTCCAGACTTAGATTTGATCATTATAGGCAACTGTAGAAGTAATCTGCTCATCATTTTTTTCTTTTCAAACTTTTGTATTGTTTGGATTGACTAGTTTATTTTTTTTTTCTCTTTTAATCTGATTTTTAAATGTTAACTTTGAGTATACCACTTATACATTGAATTAAGTAGAAAGTAAGAAGTAAGATTACAGAAATTGTAAGAAGAAATAGTTTAAAGGGCATATAGATTCTTAAAAGTAATTTACTGAAATTGTAAACAAATTTTACTCATTTATTATTTAATATCCTTTCTTCTATGAGGTTACTATCCAATATGCTTTTTTCTTTCTTCTTCCCTTTGTCTTTTTCCACTCGTATAAAGTTTCTCGGGAAAACATTGGGCTAATGTCAGGAGAGTACTGTTAGCATTGAAACTGCATGAACAAAGGGTTGTAAATGACACTTTTGTTTTTCTGAAATTTTCTTATATTCATACCAACTTAAGAGTTATTTAAAAACGAGACTTGTTTGAAGAAATCTCAATACATTGTTTTATTAAACATCCAGTCGAAAGTTTAGTTCTTTTTTAATGAAGGGATTGATGACTTAGAATAAACTTTGCTTTCTAGAAGAAACAATAAACTGGATTTTGTGTGCATATTATTTTTAAAAATTTCTTTTCAGTTTTCTCTTTGAGGATGGCGAAAGCTTTGGACAAGATCGAGATAGAAGCTCACTTTTAGATGATACCACTGTGACATTATCATTATGCCAGCTAAGAAATGTAAGAATGATATTTTGACAGTTCTGCTTTAGTTTTTTTTTTTCTTTAATTAAAACCTTACAGATACACAAGATATTGTGTATGCCTCCTTGATTTCACAAAATATGGGAGAGCTTCTGTAAAATGTGTGCCCCAGAGTAAATTGCATCTGTACAACTTCAGCTTTATTACCTGAGTGTTCACAAAAATGATTTTATCAGTTTATCTTTTCGCCATCATTGGGTAACTGTTCTCATTTCTTTATTTACCTGGTAATGCTTTCTTTTATCAAATTTTAAAAAGTTGTTAATCTAATGATATGGAAAAGTATTTTGCTATAACACTAATTTTTAATTTCGTGATTATAGTGCAGTTGTAAGTCTTTTCATATATTTTATCACTTCGCCTACCTCTTTATGCATTACTAGTTCATATCTCTTGTCAGTTTTTCTTTTGAGTGATTTCTTATTGATTTGAGGAGTTTTAGAACTATATCCCTGATATCGTATCTTTGTGAGCTGTATGTCATGGAAATATATTCTCATCTGTAGCTCTTCCTTCAACTTTTGATTGTTTTATTGAATGGAATTCTAAATTTTTATCAGTATTTTCTTTTATAGTCAAATGTATTTTGATATATTTTTTCTTGTAACTTATTTAAAGTAAAAGCAAGGTTATAAGTATATTTTATAATGTTTTTATATATTTCCTTTTAAAAATTTTAAATAATTGTTTCCCATTTAGTTCTTTAATCCATCTAGAATTTATTTTAGATTAAGTTGTAAGGAAGGTATCCAATATTGTATTTCATTGATTAAAAAAATACCCCTTATGTCAGTACCATATAATTGAATAGTTTTCTCTTCACTTTTTTGATGTGCAATACCAACTTTTTCTATGTGCATGGATATGTCTCTGGGCCTTGGTATTCTAATTTGTTGGCCTGTGTTTCTAATTTTAGCAAATACCACATTGCCTTAATCTATAGTTTTATGTGAACTGTTGATATCTAGCAAAGGAAGACTTTCAGTTTTTTTGTCCTCAAAATGGAGTAGGAGCTCTTTAACATCTTCCTCTACTAGCTGATTTTTATTATCATCTTAAAGACCTTCATAAAAAATTACAGGGTTTTGATTGACATTGCATTGAATTTATAGGTTAATTTGTAGAGAATTGATGTATTTAAAATGTAGGGTTTTATTTCTTGAACATGCCTAAATAAATATGTCATTTATTTGTCATATTTTATATAACAATTTTCTTTTTAATGTCTGTATATCAGTTATCAGATTTATTCCTAAGGTAATTTATTGTTGCTCTTGTAAATAGAATATATATATGTGTGTGTGTGTGTGTATATATATGTGTGTGTGTGTATATATATGTATGAGTATGATTTTTTCCAACATTTTGTTATAAAAATTTGTAAACAGAAAAGTTGGGAAGCATTTACAGTGAACAAGTTACCGCCTAGATCAACCATTTGATATGGTCTATTAGCAAAATCAAGTTACACCTATTCATTGACCTATTATGTATAGCTGTTTTGTTCTACAGTGGCAAAATTGAGTAGTTGCAATAGAGACCACATGGCCCACAAAGCTAAAAATATTTGTTTTATGTTCCTGCATAGAAACAGTTTGCTAATCTGTGACCTAGATTCTATAATTAACATTTTACATGCTTTACCACATGTCTTTCTATCTTTCTAGTCATACATCAATCCATCATATTTTTCTTTCTTGTGTTTCAAAGTAAAATGAAGACATTACTACAATTCAGCTTACACATTAGAGTTTGAGATTTGTTTATGGTTCTTTTCTAGGCAAAATTTTCATGTAGTAAAATGTACAAATCTTAGTAGATGAGTTTAAAATATACATCAATAATATTTTTTCATGTAGTAAAATGTACCAAATCTTAAGTATACCAGTAGATTATTTTAAAAAATACATCAGTAATATTTTTTTAAATACCATGTCAACTACTATTTTGTGCATGATTAGTAACACAAATGATTTTTTTATATGGATTTTGTGTCAGGCAATGTTGCTGAACTTATTCTTTTTTAAATAAGAATAGGACTCTACAGAGTCTCTGTGGTTTTCTTGGAAATGAAGGGAAAAACACTACCTTAATTCACTTCACTCACTTCATCTTTTGTAATTATTTTTGCTGAGCCTCTATAACACTATTGAATAGAAACAAATAGTGGGCATTCTTGTCTCATTTCTGGTTTTAAAAGGTTGCTTTTTATATTTCATAATTAAGTATGATATTTGTTGCATTGAGCTGTAGACATCTATTCTAAGTTATACGTTTTGTTATGAATGGGTGTTGAATTTCACTGAGTGTTTTTACTGTATCTATTGGGATGGTCATATGGTTTTTTTATGTATTATGTTAATGGATTTAATTATATTGATGGGGTTTTTCAATGTTGAGCCATGTTTATATTTCTGGAATAAACCCAATCAGATCATGATTTCATTTTTCCTTTTTTATACATTTGTGTTTTGATTTTTCTAATATTTTGTTTAGAATGTTTGCATTTCTGTGTCTATTTGAGATGGGCCTGTGAGTTTCTTTTGTTTTACTGCAACATGCTAGTTTGGTATCAGGGGTGTACTAGTCTCATAAGATAAATAGGAGAGTGTTGCCTTTTTTTTTTTTTATTCTCTGAAAGACTTTATATGATTACATATATCTATTTCTTGAATGTTTCATGGGAGTTAGCTTTAAAACCATATTGTAATGGCTCCTTATCCCTATCTGGGTGTAATCATTACTTCAGTCTGCTTAATGGTTATAAGTTTACTCAGGCTGTTTATTTTGTTTTTAAATCATTTTCTAAAGTTATATGTTTCAAGGCCTTTAAGCTTGCTCTTCCCAGTGCCTCTAACACTCTTCCGCCGCTTTTATTTCCTTTCTTTCCATTCTCTGCTGAACCGTTACCTATTGGTGGGCTTTTGTTGGCCATCCTTTATCAAATAGCAACGCCACACCTATCCCTTGTATTCTTTATCCTGTTTTTTTTTTTTTCCTCTATTGTACTTCTCTTCATTTGATATATGTTTTCTTCCTATATGATAACTGAATGAAGGAATGAATCCTCTTATTATATAAAAGCCCTATTAATATTGTAGTAAAGTACAGGGGAGAAGTATTTTATAATCTTATGATTAAGTCCCAGATTTTAGTGAGCCTGTATTCCTGGGCTGTGACCTTCACAAGGTTTCTCAGCTTCTCCCACTCCTCTGCCCCAAGCTGAGACAGGAAAGCTGGAGGGACCAGAGTCGGGTATTTCTTTTCCCCTACATCAAAGACTGGAGTGGACTGGAGTTGAATATTTCCTTCCCAAGTTGGCTAGATTTCTGCAAAACCCAAGTTAGTTAGAACCTGGCAGAAGAGTTTCCCTTTAAGGCAGACCTCTCTTAAGGAAAACAGAGTACCCTGGCTATATTTCAGGTTGGTTACTTTCCACCTCCCCCTGCAGGAAGTCAAGGGTATTTTTCTCAGATCTTCACCCTGAGAACCTGGTGGGACCTGTGGAGGTTAATCTCATGGAAGCAAGGAAGGCCTCCCTAAGGCTGGGCCTCTAGAAGTTTTTCTCTCTCATATTAGTCTGTGCTCAGCCTGCAAGTATAAATAAATACCTTTTAATTAATCTTAACAGGCTCCAGCAGTGGCTGTGTTCCTGGTGAGCTGTGAGTCCCTGTATTCGAGGGTCCCTCCAGTTTTTAGGACATCACAGTGCTCTGATTCTGATAGATGTGAGACGAGTTCTTGATTTTCAGTTTGTTCAGCATTTTTCTTGTTAGAGGAAGAATGATGCCTTCTAAGCTGTTTATATTTTGTATAAGAAAGTGGAAGTCCCAGCCTTTTTAATTTTAACTATTCATAGCCAAAGCTAAAATAGGTACCTATCCTTGTTTTCTGTCTAAGCTAGCAATTCCCCTAGTTTTTATTTACGTGGCTTTAGAAGGGTCTTCTCCATTCTGAAGGTCTGTTATGCAGGTTCCCAAACCTTTATCCCATTATGGTCTAAATCTCTAGACCGCAGTTATTAACTCCTTTCTTCTAGGCCTGGTTTTATATCTGTTATCACAGCATTTTCCTTATGTTTTAAAGCTTAGCTAACCATTTAATATTTTACATGTTATGTAGTAGGACAGTATTAGAATCCATTGTCTACCATAATGCCATCAACAGAAAATTAAAATATATAATTATTACTACTCAATACTCTGAATTTATAATCTCTTTGAAAGAAAGAATGTGGAAAGTAACAAAATAATTAACAATACCATGCAGCAAACAATAAATTACATCCAAAATATCTGATTTCAGCTGATTTTGTTTTGCTCTTAATTTGTTTTTTCAATTTAAATATAATCCAAGTTAAATGAATGTAGGCTTCAAGTCTAAATGTCTCAATGCCTTTATAGTTCTGCTTGCGAAATTTAAAATACTTTTCTTCTGTAGTTATTAAGAAATATTAATTTGCTGATTCTTAAAATGATATGGAAACCAAATAATTTTTAGTGTTTTCGTTCACCTTTTAAAATTCCTAATGTGCAAAATTTTTTTTAGAAAAGACAGACAAGATACTTATAGATAAAATCAATGACATTCAGGATACTGAAAACTAATCTTTAATAACAAGATATGTGTATTAATAATGCAGTAACACTTGGGAAAATTTAATTTCTTTATTTGAAATTTTAATATATGAAAGATATACCTAAAGGTTTACTGAAATAGGATAAGCGTATAGCACATTAATTTTTAGAGGAGAACCAGGCGTAAATTCAGTGTTTGCTGAATTCTTAGTGTTGAGTAAAAGATTTTTCTTCAGCTTTAACAATTCTGGGAATAACTCACATGGGTGCACAATGACTGATCAACAGAAGATCAGTGCTTGCTGCACACACAGCTTGAACTTCTATGTCAATCCCCATAGGAGCAAACATTCTGCCTTCAAGATGGAAGTTGAACAGCAGAGCAGTGGGCAAGATGGCATTAACTTTAATCACCTTGCTTAGAATGTGATTAACATTTTACTTTACTACTGCCTTCCTGCTTCTGATTTTGAAGAATACCTGTAATCCTGTCAGGGTTGTTATTTGGAACAACTATTAAAATAACTTTGTAAAAAAAATCATTAAGTAAACTCTGTCCATTGATTTATTAGCTATTTGAGTCATACATGTTCAAAGTATGATGTGAGAAATGTTTTGGAATCCTTTTTCTAGTACCTTTCTTTTTGACTTAGCTTGTATTATACCAAAGCAAAAATAAATCTAAGTTGTACTTTCAATATGTACATGGCTATATAGTACCTCTTTTTAATCATCTTTCTTCACATAACTTAAAATTTTTTTCCCATTCATTAAGTTTTATACTAGTGCTAGTAATTCTGAGTTGTGTTTGGAAAATATATCATGATAGGTGTCTAACATTTATGAGTGATACCTATAGATAAGAAAAAAAAAAAAGAAAAGTTGTTTTTCACAGGCAAACCTTAATCAGTAGAGGCATTGTATGCTTGCATGTTTATAAGAACTGATTTTTAGATTCTATTTTATACTTTTCTAGGTCACCTTATAAATTCATAGTTGTTGTATTACTTGTCTTTTTAAACACAGATCAAAGTTTCTGCCCAATATCTTTATACATAAATATTGTCTTTAAATACACAGAGATTGAAAGATGTTGGTGGAGAAGCATTTTACCCATTACTTGAAGATGAGTGAGTATATATAGTCTCATTTTACATTTATTTTTCTTTCTATTTATATTAGATTTATAAGAATTTTATACATTTTCTTTGAAATGTGTTTCCTAAATAGAAAATAATAACCTGATATTTTGGTTTATTAAAATTTTGTGCTTTTTCTGAAATCACTGTCGGTAGAGTTAGGAAGAAAAAAGAAAATGTACCTTTTGTCCTTTTTTTTTTTTTTTTATTGCTTTTGTTCTCTTTTACAGCCAGTCTAATTTACCTCATTCAAACAGCAATAATGAGTTGTCTGCAGCTGCCACTCTCCCTTTAATCATCAGAGAGAAGGACACAGAGTACCAACTAAATAGAATTATTCTCTTTGACAGGCTGCTAAAGGTATGTATTCTAAAGTATAAAGTGTTAACAATAGCCCATATGGAATTCTTTTTTTTAATTTTTTCGATAATTCTTAGGGAATCTTGAATAATAAGAAGGTTAATTTTTATGACCTATCTTGTCCTGTTAGCTTTCTTTGATTTTAAAAATGATACATGTTCTTAGTAAGTAAAATTAGAAAGTAAAAACAAAGTGTGGTAATATATGCAAAATCATGTTAGACAAAGGATTAATGTCCTTATTTTTTATTTTATTTTTTTTATTATTATTATACTTTAAGTTCTAGGGTACATGTGCATAACATGCAGGTTTGTTACATATGTATACTTGTGCCATGTTGGCATGCTACACCCATCACCTCATCAGCACCCATCAACTCGTCCTTTACATCCGGTATAACTCCCGGTGCAATCCCTCCCCCCTCCCCCCTCCCCATAATAGGCCCCGGTGTGTGATGTTCCCCTTCCCGAGTCCAAGTGATCTCATTGTTCAATTCCCACCTATGAGTGAGAACACGCGGCATATGGTTTTCTGTCCTTGTGGTAGTTTGCTGAGAATGATGGTTTCCAGCTGCATCCATGTCCCTACAAAGGACACAAACTCATCCTTTTTTATGGCTGCATAGTATTCCATGGTGTATATGTGCCACATTTTCTTAATCCAGTCTGTCACTGATGGACATTTGGGTTGATTCCAAGTCTTTGCTATTGTAAATAGTGCCACAATGAACATATGTGTGCATGTGTCTTTATAGCAGCATGATTTATAATCCTTTGGGTATATACCCAGTAATGGGATGGCTGGGTCATATGGTACTTCTGGTTCTAGATCCTTGAGGAATCGCCGTACTGTTTTCCACAATGGTTGAACCAGTTTACTATCCCACCAACAGTGTAAAAGTGTTCCTATTTCTCCACATCCTCTCTAGCACCTGTTGTTTCCTGACTTTTTAATGATTGCCATTCTAACTAGTGTGAGATGGTATCTCATTGTGGTTTTGATTTGCATTTCTCTGATGGCCAGTGATGACGAGCATTTTTTCATGTGTCTGTTGCCTGTATGCATGTCTTCTTTTGAGAAATATAAGTTCATATCCCTTGCCCACTTTTTGATGGGGTTGTTTGTTTTTTTCTTGTAAATTTGTTTGAGTTCTTTGTAGGTTTTGGGTATTAGCCCTTTGTCAGATGAGTAGATTGCAAAAATTTTCTCCCATTCTGTAGGTTGCCTGTTCACTCTGATGGTAGTTTCTTTTGCTGTGCAGAAGCTCTTTAGTTTAATGAGATCCCATTTGTCAATTTTGGCTTTTGTTGCCGTTGCTTTTGGTGTTTTAGACATGAAGTCCTTGCCCGTGCCTATGTCCTGAATGGTATTACCTAGGTTTTCTTCTAGGGTTTTTATGGTTTTAGGTCTAACATTTAAGTCTAATCCATCTTGAATTAATTTTCGTGTAAGGAGTAAGGAAAGGATCCAGTTTCAGCTTTCTACTTATGGCTAGCCAATTTTCCCAGCACCGTTTATTAAATAGGGAATTCTTTCCCCATTTCTTGTTTTTCTCAGGTTTGTCAAAGATCAGATGGCTGTAGATGTGTGGTATTATTTCTGAGGACTCTGTTCTATTCCATTGGTCTATATCTCTGTTTTTGTACCAGTACCATGCTGTTTTGGTTACTGTAGCCTTGTAGTATAGTTTGAAGTCAGGTAGTGTGATGCCTCCAGCTTTGTTCTTTTGACTTAGGATTGTCTTGGAGATGTGGGCTCTTTTTTGGTTCCATATGAACTTTAAAGCAGTTTTTTCCAATTCTGTGAAGAAACTCATTGGTAGTTTGATGGGGATGGCATTGAATCTGTTGAATCTATAAATTACCTTGGGCAGTATGGCCATTTTCACGATATTGATTCTTCCTATCCATGAACATGGAATATTCTTCCATTTGTTTGTGTCCTCTTTTATTTCACTGAGCAGTGGTTTGTAGTTCTCCTTGAAGAGGTCCTTTACATCCCTTGTAAGTTGGATTCCTAGGTATTTTATTCTCTTTGAAGCAATTGTGAATGGAAGTTCATTCATGATTTGACTCTCTGTTTGTCTGTTACTGGTGTATAAGAATGCTTGTGATTTTTGCACATTAATTTTGTATCCTGAGACTTTGCTGAAGTTTCTTATCAGCTTAAGGAGATTGTGGGCTGAGATGATGGGGTTTTCTAAATATACAGTCATGTCATCTGCAAAGAGGGACAATTGGACTTCTTCTTTTCCTAACTGAATACCCTTTATTTCTTTCTCTTGACTGATTGCCCTAGGAAGAACTTCCAACACTATGTTGAATAGGAGTGGTGAGAAAGGGCATCCCTGTCTTGTGCCAGTTTTCAAAGGGAATGCTTCCAGTTTTTGCCCATTCAATATGATATTGGCTGTGGGTTTGTCATAAATAGCTCTTATTATTTTGAGATATGTTCCATCAATATCGAATTTATTGAGAGTTTTTAGCATGAAGGGCTGTTGAATTTTGTCAAAGACCTTTTCTGCATCTATTGAGATAATTATGTGGTTTTTGTCTTTGGTTCTGTTTATATACTGGATTACATTTATTGATTTGCATATGTTGGACCAGCCTTGCATCCCAGGGATGAAGCCCACTTGATCATGGTGGATAAGCTTTGTGATGTGCTGCTGGATTTGGTTTGCCAGTATTTTATTGAGGATTTTTGCATCGATGTTCATCAGGGATATTGGTCTAAAATTCTCTTTTTTTTTGTTGTGTCTCTGCCAGGCTTTGGTATCAGGATGATGTTGGCCTCATAAAATGAGTTAGGGAGGATTCCCTCTTTTTCTATTGATTGGAATAGTTTCAGAAGGAATGGTACCAGCTCCTCCTTGTACCTCTGGGAGAATTCGGCTGTGAATCCATCTGGTCCTGGACTTTTTTTGGTTGGTAGGCTATTAATTATTGCCTCAATTTCAGAGCCTGCTATTGGTCTATTCAGGAATTCTGCTTCTTCCTGGTTTAGTCTTGGGAGAGTGTAAGTGTCCAGGAAATTATCCATTTCTTCTAGATTTTCTAGTTTATTTGCATAGAGGTGTTTATAGTATTCTCTGATGGTAGTTTGTGTTTCTGTGGGGTCGGTGGTGATATCCCCTTTATCGTTTTTTATTGCGTCTATTTGATTCTTCTCTCTTTTCTTCTCTATTATTCTTGCTAGCGGTCTATCAATTTTGTTGATTTTTTCAAAAAACCAACTCCTGGAATCATTGATTTTTTGGAGGGTTTTTTGTGTCTCTATCTCTTTCAGTTCTGCTCTGATCTTAGTTATTTCTTGCCTTCTGCTAGCTTTTGAATGTGTTTGCTCTTGCTTCTCTAGTTCTTTCAATTGTGATGTTAGAGTGTCAATTTTAGATCTTTCCAGCTTTCTCTTGTGGGCATTTAGTGCTATAAATTTCCCTCTACACACTGCTTTAAATGTGTCCCAGAGATTCTGGTATGTTATGTCTTTAATGTCCTTATTTTTTAAAAGAAGACTTAAAAGTCAACAGGAAAAACATTAATATTGAAACAGAGAAATGGATAGAGTACATAATATAAATACAACTAGTAAATCTTTTCAAATTGTTCATCTTCACTAGGAATGAAAAAATATATATAAATTAAAATCGGATTGATTTTCCATACCACATTCACAAAGTGAGCACAGTTGCAATGATATTGGAACTCTCATTCTGTTGTAATAAATGTGAATGTACTGAAACATTTCGTAAAACAATTTGAATGCATATATCATGAACCTTAACAACATCTGTGTCCTTTGTCCTATTAATACTCTTCTAGAAATTTCTCCTAAGACACAAATTTATAAAAGTACAAATTTATATGCAAAATGCAGAAGTACCCATAATAGTAGCTTATAGTGATTGAACACTTCTCTGTCACCACGTTTTTAACAGAGTGCTTTACCTGCATTGTCTTATTTAACCCGTATGAGGCTGGTACTATTATCCTTCATTTAAAATGACTCATTTTAAATCCCCCCAGAGCATCAAATAGAGAGGAAGGATTTAAAAATAGATAGAATCAGCTCCTCTTCTTAATTATATAATATAAATTTTGCAAGGTGTTAGGGATTCATTCTACTGCTTATTTATATGTATTAATAACACCAGACACAATAATTGCACGTACTTTGAAATTTATTGCAAGTCACTTAAGTTTTATCATGGGTATATTCAGAACTGTCTAGACTGAAAGATGGCACTAGGTAATTTGAGGCGTTTTCATTTCTTTTTTGATATAGGCTTATCCATATAAAAAAAATCAAATATGGAAAGAAGCAAGAATTGACATTCCTCCTCTTTTGAGAGGTTTAACCTGGGCTGCTCTTCTGGGAGTTGAGGTAAGGAAAAAAGAAAAGGTTAGAAGCTGATTAATTATGCTAAGAAAGGATGAAGAAGGAGAGTGCTTTCCAAATATGTATTTTTCCAGTTACTAGAAAATTATATAGTAAAATATAAGCATTAGAATATTTGGCAATTTTAAGTGGAAGGAACATAGGAAAACAATAGAAAAGAAAAATATAATTGAGGGTTTATTAGATTGTGCTATTTAATATTTCATTTAATGGTGGTCACAGAAAATGTTTTGATTATTACCAAGGAATATTTTAAGAATATATGTCAGTTACAAGTGGGTAGTCCTGCTTATGAAGTATGCTTATTATAGAATATGATTATCTGTTTATAAATGGTTCTAAATTTGGAGAAATCTTTCAATCTAATCTGACATGTCAAAATCACTAACATAATTTAGTGGCTTTTGGCACGCCTGTTCCACCTGGAATGTGCTACCAAGAGAAATAGCTCCCATGTCTTCTATAACACTTTCTCTGTGGTTGTGAGGAAGGGAGAGGTGTCACAAATTGTGGTGGTCTGCAATACTAACAGAGAACTCCGATGACATCAATCATGACAACGGGCCAACTTCTAGCCAGATTTTTTTCATTTCTTGTCAATTTCTTTGTCATCTTGTCGTCTTATATTCTCTTATAGATAATTATCCTTGCTTTTTAAAGAATTCCAGTCAGGAATGGTGGCACATGCCTGTGGTCCCAGCTTCTTGGAAAGCTGAGGCAGGAGGGTTACTTGAGCCCAGGAGTTCGAGGCTTCAGTGAACCTTGATTATGCCACTGCACTCTACCCTGGATGATAGAACTAAACCCTGTCTCTAAAAAAAATATTTTAAAAAAATCCTCAACTATTTTTAATCCTTTTCAATTCTCTGTTTGAAGAATTTCCTTTCTTCATTCCTGATTCCCTTGATAAGAGTCTGCAAATACCTTTGAGTTTGGTTGGTTACTTTACAAGAATGCCAGTGGTTCAATATCATACAGTAATCATTAGACTTGTAGAACAATATAATGCTAAAGTCCAAGAGGACTTCAGGTATCAGGTTTTCCAACTCTCATTAAATGAATGTCTCAAAGAAGTTGATATAGCAGATATTGGAGTTTGAACCCTACTTCCTGGCTCTTTCTCTACCATGATAATAAGCCAGAATAATATTATTTTTTTCATGCTTGGTCCTATAGATCATGACCAAAATTTGTAGTCATTTATTCAGTTATTTTTAATTTTTAACAGTGTGTAACTGAAAATTGTAAATGACCTCTTTAGGCCCTAATGATTCTATCATGTAATTATAGACATAACATAACAAGGTTGTGTTATGTTGTAGGGGCTGGGAGGTCAGCCAAACATACTTACTAGCTAAGTAATTAATCCACAACATTCATGTTGTGGTGTTTATAATTCAAGAGTTTGCCTCAGCATAATGGCAAATTGTGACTTATCAGAGACTTTCATCATAGATTGTCAAAGACACAGAAAATTTCTCTTAAGATGAGTTCTACACTGGGTTTGAATGTGCTTATCTGTAGTTGGGTAGGTTTCCAAAGATAGATATTTGTAAAAAATAGATTTTTCTATATTACTAGTTGTATTAAGGATATGATAAACTAATGTATCTTCTTTTATTTTTTGCAGGGAGCTATTCATGCCAAGTACGATGCAATTGATAAAGACACTCCAATTCCTACAGATAGACAAGTATGATTTAGATTTTCTTAAGCAACCTAAGATAATTCTGTCAAATATTTAAATTTTAGGAAGGAGCCTGAAGAAAGCCTCTTTCTCTCATGAATACAGACACACTGCTGCATACATACATTGTTAGAGAAACCATAACTCTTATGCTTATAACTTAGAACAATACCTTATAGGACTTTAAGGTCAAGTTACCTTTTTAAAAATACTATAGTTCTTCATCTGAAAAATTTGCCCTTCATTTGGACCAGACTATAAAGAAAAATATTTTTTAAAAGTATATTAACACATACCTTTCAAAAGAAATGGTCTGATTCTCCTGTTTAAGTATACATACAACATCTTTAGTGTTTCCATAAGATCAATTAAAAAATTCAAAAAATTAGGCACTTAAGAAGTTGGTCTGTTTTGAAATTTGTATTATGGCTTCTCCTTTTCCTTTTTTAATGAATAAAGATTAAGGGTTTATTGCTGATTACACAATTACTGTTTCACCTTATTATTTTGCTATTTTAACAGATTGAAGTGGATATTCCTCGCTGTCATCAGTACGATGAACTGTTATCATCACCAGAAGGTCATGCAAAATTTAGGCGTGTATTAAAAGCCTGGGTAGTGTCTCATCCTGATCTTGTGTATTGGCAAGGTAACTTTTATAGTCATTAAAACTCCTCTGGAGTATTAGGAGATTGTTGCATAACTGACATTTTAAAAAAATTAAAATATCTAAACATCCTTGTCTTCGGAAAAAGTCAATATTGAAGCTCTGATTCATTTTTTGAGAGGTTTACATCCAAGCATTTTTTTAAATCTTTGTCTAAATCCTAGTAGATATCATTTAAAAACATAATATTTAATATGCAAGTTGATTAGCAAAGCAGAAAGGTATTTGGAGCTGTTATCATCTTTGTGGATACATTTTTTAAACGCCTATGCACACTGTTAAATCAGTTGGGGCTAGTTGAGATTCTTATAGTTAATGATTTCTAATTTATACTTACCATGGCTATTAGGACTTAAAAATAGGCTCTCATCCTAAAGTCCTCGTTTTATTTGTCTTTTTTCCCCTTGTATCTTTAATGGTTCATATCTTTTATTTTTAGCTTTGCCATTATTATTTTTGTGTTTGATAAAGAATGAGAAACCCATTCCAACCCTATTTTTGAATGTGTTGTTATAAGCGGCTATTTTTATATTTCAGTTCTCTATTTCTTACTGGCCATAGTTTAAATAAAGGTATTATTTTTCTTAGCTCTGTGTATTTCAGAGCTATTCTATATCCTCCTAACAGTTGTAGGTAGATTTATGTACATTCTTTCAACATGACAATACATGCACATCATTATTATCAATAAAAGAAATGTCATATATTTGGAATTCACTTCACAATTTTTAAAGAATTTTTTTCATAATCCCAAAGAAAAAGAACATAGGTGAAACTCCATTTCCTAGACGAGAAAGTATGTCAGAAGATATTAAGTAATTGCCAGAATTGTACACTTAGGGTCAGAGATGGGACAATATCCAAAGAATTGTAACTTTCTTCCATTTTTCTATTATTGTATTTCTCTTTTCGACTCATAATAATCTGGATAATAATAATAGCTGATTCATATTGGACACATACTGTGTGCTACACTATCACTTAATCCCCACAGTAAATCGTGAGGTGACATATTTCTGGATGGATAATACTTCTAATGTTTAATCTACTTGGAGGTAATGCAAAGAACTGAATAAGGTATATATCTTCAATTCTACTAGATTATATTTATTTGATTTCTTTCTCCCAACCCCTCTGCATTAGGTCTTGACTCACTCTGTGCTCCATTCCTGTATCTAAACTTCAATAATGAAGGTAAGCCTCTTTATCATTTAAATAATCATTGCACATAATATTCTAAAATATGTAATTCAGACATGAAAGGTTTTTGTTTTTGTTTTAAGGTTCTTTTTCTCTCCCTGGTAGATTTCTGTGAAATAATCTATTATAGACTCATTTTAGAGATGTGAAGGATTAATTTATTACTGGAGAGTTTCATTTATGCTAAAGATATTACTAGAAATTTAGTGGAATTTGATTATTCTAAATTCCTTAGAGATTAATTTTTGTCTAAGTATACTTTCTAAAGAATTTTTAAAGAAATCAATTATGGCGGCACTTTTCCATAATCTTGTATCTCCAAAGCCTATAATCATTTTGGATACCTCTTCCTTAATGAAGACTTTTCTTATTCTCCTTCTTGAGCCCGTAAAGCACTTTGTATTTATAAAAATTTATCTTGTGTCTGTCTTGTATTCTAATACTTATATACTAATGTAATATTTTTTGACAGCCCTTTTTCAATGGCAGGTTTTTTTTTCCCTGCCTTTCTGCAATAACTTTATTATTGTAGGCTTTTCAATAAATACTAAATTCGAATAACTCCAATCCCTGAAATCACATGTAGAGTGTGTTACTATATATAGCTTGAATGTCTAGATGCCTTATCTGACCATCTCCCTATTTTCAGAGTCTATCTATTTCATGACCAAATTTGCATCAATTTATGGAATTAAGTAGAAATAGCATAATCCCAGAGAAATGAAATTTTACTCTTTGGATTATTTTTAAAATACTCTGTTCTCTGATATTCTCACTCATTAATCTAAACTAGAGTTTTTTACTATGTTTAGTTAGGCATAGCCAATTATCACTCATACTGACCCAAGCGTAGTCAGGGGTCTGTGTTTGAAAATGTGAATTATAACACTATTCCTAAATCCAAAGTTCGTAGATTCTTGTTTGCATCAGCAGCAATTAAGGATCGTGAGGTCTGTATAACTTACTAGTAATGATCATGCTTAGAAATTTTAAGAAACAACGTTTAGGTAATAAAAGTTTTGATTATTGTGTGATAATGATTGCCACAGTAGTTTAAAATTTAAGTTATAGAATTATTTTCTGTTGTCTAAAATGTTTTCTATTTTAAAGCATAGAGACTTTTATCTCTCAATTTTGTTTTTCTAGCACTTGCTATCATAACTGTTATTTAATAGTAGATTCAAGGAATATGTGCTAAGCGAATGCATTACAGCTGGTCATCTACCCTGTTAACTAATTTTTTACATGCCTTTGCCTTATTCTCTTTTAGCCTTGGCTTATGCATGTATGTCTGCTTTTATTCCCAAATATCTGTATAACTTCTTCTTAAAAGACAACTCACATGTAATACAAGGTAAGCAAATGTCTTTCCGTGACTTTCTGCAGGGAAACTGCTGATGTACTGGTGTGTTGATGTAATATTTGATTAAATTTAAGATTTTGACCCTCAAAATATGATGGTCCATCCAATAAAATCCATAAAGAGAAATTAGAAAGTTTGGTCTTTCCTCCAAATCCACAAAGAATTATGGTATTTTTCTAATGGATATTTGATATCTGATTTCATTTCAGTTCAAATGCAGGCATGCTAGTTTGAGAAAATAAGAGACTGCCATTTATATCTCTAACAATCAAAATTGCTCACAAAAAGCTTCACCATGGAGCAAGTCCACTGTAAATTAGTAAAAAGTTTAAATGTTTAATTGTGTAATCGGAGTATTAAAAATACTTTTCATTTATCTCATTTCCCATGCATGCATACCCAAAATATATTCCCTCTTTCTTCAACTTACCTAAAATATACCTCCTTCTTAAGAGTTCACGTCATAGTGTAACCTATTTGTGAATTCATTCAGGACAACTTTAGCCACATTCAAACTTCTATTATAATTTCCTGAACTCTTTTTTGGAAGTAATATCATAGAAGTTAAAAATACCCACATTTAGATAGAAAAAATAATCCTAAAATTTATGTGGACCCACAAAAGATCTAGAATAGCCAAAGCTGTCCTGAGCTAAAAGAACAAAACTGGAGGAATCACATTATCTGACTTCAAATTATACTACAGAGCTATAGTAACTGAAACAAAATGGTACTGGCATAAAAGCAGACACATAGACCAATAGAACAGAATAGAAAACGCAGAAGCAAATCTGTACACTTACAGTGAACACATTTTCGACAAAGGTGTCAATAACATTCACTGTTCTTGAAGTTTCTTCAACAAATCCTTTTGAAGAAATTAGATCTTCATATGCAGAAGAATGAAACTAGACCTTTATCTGTCTAGTTACATAAAAATCTGTCTAGTTACATAAAAATCAAATCAAAATGGATTAAAGTCTCAAATCTAAAACCTCAAATTATGGTACTATAAGAAAACATTGGGGAAACTCTCCAGGACATTAGTCCAGGCAAAGATATCTTGAGTAATATCCCATAAACAGAGGCAAACAAAGCAAAAATGGACAAATGAGATCACATCAAGTTAAAAACCTTCTGAACAGCAAAGGAGACAATCAACAAAGTTAGGAGACAACTCACAGAATGGGAGAAAATATTTGAAAACTACCCACCTGATAAGGGATTAATGGCCAGAATATATAAGAAGCTCAAATAACTCTGTAGAAAAAAATCTAATAATCTGATTTTAAAAAGGGCAACAGATTTCATTACACATTTCTCAAAAGAAGACATATACATGGCAAACAGGATTCTGAAGAGGTGTTCAATATCATTGATGATCAGCGAAATTCAAGTCAAAACTACATGAGATATCATGTCACTCTAGTTAAAATGGCTTTTATCCACAAGATAGGCAATAACACGCTGGTGAGGATGTGGAGAAAAAGGAACCCTCATATGCCATTGGTGGTAATGTATGTTAGTATAACCACTATGGAGAACAGTTTAGAGGTTCTTCAATAAACTGAAAGTAAACCTATCATATGATCCAGCAATCCTACTGCTAGGTATATACCCAAAAGAAAGGAAATCAGTATCAAGGAGATATCTGCACTCCCATGTTTACTGCAGCACCATTCATGATAGCCAAGATTCTGAAGCAACCTAAGTGTTCATCAACAGACAAGTGGATAAAGAAAATGTGGCACTTAATACACAATGGAGTACTATTCAGCCATAAGAAAAAATGAGATCCTGTCATTTTCAACAACATGGATGGAACTAGAGGTCATTATGTTAAATGATATAAGCCAGGCACAAAAAGACAGGCTTCATATGTTCTCACTTATTTGTAGGATCTGAAAATCAAAACATTTGAACTCATGCAGATGGAGAGTAGAATGACGGTTACCACAAGCTGGGAAGGGTAGTGGAGGGTAGAAGTTGGAGGATACACATTGTGAATGAGTAAAAAAAATAACCGAAAGAATAAATAAGACCTAGTATTTGCTAGCACAACAGGGTGACTGTAGTTAATAATAATTTAATTGTACATTTTAAAATAACTAAGAGTATATAATTGGATTTTTTTAACGCAAAAGAAAAATACTTGAGGTGATGGATACTTCATTTTCCCTGAATGGGTTTATTATGCATTGCATGTCAGTATCAATGTATCTCATTTACCCCATAAATATATGCACGTACTATGTACCCACAAAAATTGAAAACAAAATAAAACAAGAAAACCCACACTTTTAAAACAGGTGTTTCAAATTTAAGTTTCACTACTTATTGGATAATCTTGGACAAATAATTTAACTTCTATAGGTAACATTTTTCTCATGTCTAGAATAAAAATATTGTAGAGGTTAAACATAATATGTAAATTCCTGGTACATACATATTCAATAAGTGCTATTATTTATTTCTTTATATTACTGTTACTATGAGTACTAGTTTTTGCTAGTGTTATCATTATGGCATTATGTACTGTTTTATATCTTTTCAACAAGATTCTGTATATTTTAAGGCCAGGGGATTTTCTTATAGTTTTTCTGTTCTTTTAGAGCAGACTACAAAGCTGCTCACTCTCCCATTTACTGTTTTTATGATGCTTATCAGATATCCCTTTGATCTTGTTTTTAACTATATATAATTCTTCCTGCTTTATTTTAAACAACTTGAAACTGATTCTGTGTTATATATATCATTATGGTTTTATGTAATTCACCCAGTTTTCATAAATGAAGTAGGAGTACTGGATGTTGTATCTGATTTATCAAAAATTCTGAGTAAGTGGGATCTCAATTAGTAATAATTTTACTTGGTTAGAAATGAATATAAAATTAGAGTATCAGAGGTTGATATAATGGGAGAATAATTAGAAAGGAAGCAGAAAGGAAAATGTAAACTCAAAAAAGTAAAGCTAAAAGTAGAAGGAACAGAATATGGATAAATAGCTTCGCACATAAAAACATTTGTTCTTTCAGCATCATGTACCTTGATGTTTAAAGAAAAAGAATTAAAACTTTTTGAAAATTTTGTGTTTACAAGCAAATTGAATCATGTGTTCATTCCTGTATATCTGTGTCTACAGTGTAGATAGGTGTTAGAAATGGAAATAATGATCCATTGTCTCTATGTTAATTTTGAAATGCAAACTCCATTGGCTTTTGTATTTTGAAATGGTGTGGTTTGACATAGATGTGCCCAATTCTGCACATTTTCTACAGTGTGGACTTGTATGAAGTTGAGATTAATTTGAGAACGATTTTTAGAAGGTACAGCTTTTTGCTTTGACTTTTTCTAATTAAGGAGGAGTGCATTTTGTAGTGGAAGTTGTTTTTTGCTTATAGATTACCTTAATAAGGCCATTGACTGCAAGGACCCTGTTATACCTTCTTCATAGTTTATGAAGTAATGTTCCATAAGGTTGTGTCCTGTACCTTATTAAGAAGGATGTGCCTCATTCTTAATAATAGCTTCCTTCTTACCCTTATTAGTGATGTTTATTATAGAATTAATAGTGTACTCTCTCAGATTTCAGTTAATAGAAAAATGAGTGGATTTAATAAAACCTTGGGTAATATCACAAGATTTTAGAAGCTATGCAATATAAATAATCTGTCAAATAGTGACCAAAGACAAACTGAGAAGATTAAAAGTAAAAAATAATCAGGTTAGTATTTGTGCTGTATAAAAAGAAATTTAATAATCATCAGCTAAATATATCAGCAATATAAGGCTGTTAGTTTCAAAGCTAACATGAAATTGTAATGTTTACTAAACTTTCCAAATATAAAAGCTCAATTAATATACAATGTTGGGCTAAATTTCTCTATAAAGATGAAAAATTGGGGAATGCTCAAATAAGCAATAAAAACAGGTCTTATAACATGAACTGATTAGACTGTTTCTTAGATGGTTGGCTGATACCTGGCTAGATGGCCAGCTCTTAAGACCATATGAGACATCTTATTTTATTTTTCCACTGTTTCATATCTCAGATACATACATTGTATATTAATAATGAATTTCCAATACGAAAAAGACAAATTTCCACACTTCCTAATTACAGACTTTTTTAACATACTTTTTTGATACAAGGTCTGGCTCTATCACCTGGGTTAGAGTGCTGTGGCACAATCTCAGCTCACTGCAACCTCCACCTCCTGTGCTCAAGCCACCTTTCCACCTCAGCCTCCTGAGTAGCTGAGACTGCAGGCATGCACCACCATATCTGGCTAATTTTTGTATTTTTTTGTAGAGACAGTTTGACCATGTTGCCAAGGCTGATCTCAAACTCATGAGCTCAAGCCATTCGCTCACCTCTGCCTCCCAAAGTGCTGGAATTACAGTCGTGAGCCACTGCGCCCAGCCTTAACATGCTTTTAAAAGGCATACTATACAGATATGCAAGACAATCTCTTGTTTAATTTATTAAATTAGAGACTATAGTGTATACAACATGAATTTGGAGAGACTTATAAGAAAGGCCAAAACACCTGGGTGCGGTGGCTCACGCCTGTAATCCCAGCACTTTGGGAGGCCGAGGTGGGCAGATTGCGAGGTCAGGAGTTCAAGACTAGCCTGGTCAACACAGTGAAACCCTGTCTCTACTAAAAATACAAAAATTAGCCAGGCATGGTGGCAGGCGCCTGTAATCCCAGCTATTTGGGAGGCTGAGGCAGGAGAATTGCTTGAACCTGGGAGATGGAGGTTGCAGTGAGCTGAGATTGTGCCACTGCACTCCAGCCTAGGCGGCAGAGTGAGACTCCATCTCAAAAAAAAAAAAAAAAAAAAGACGAAAAAGACTGTTCTTTAGTTTGATCAATTTATCAGTAATACATTTTAACATCCAACATTATAATTAAAAGACCTCTCAACAATTATTGATTGCTTGTTTCTCTAATTATTAATAATTTCCTCAGTTATGATTTCTATAA